CGTCGCATGTCTCTGCTGAACTCGGTCTGCCGGATAGTGCGCCTATATTACTATGCCACTTTCCTCTTCCGTATTGAACTGTACAATCATATTGCTGCACTTCTTCGTGCCAGAGTGCAACTGAATGATCAACCTCCTTCATTCTTTTTAACCAGGTGAGTGCCCGATGGTCGGTTCTAACAATGCACCTCCTCGCTACCAAGCAATGTCTGAAGTGTCGAACCACTGAGTAGATAGCAAGTGGCTCACGTTGCCTTGTCCTTTTCTGTTGCGTTATTTACTGAGTCTGGTCCTCGCGTCGGCGATGACGTGTTCCCTGCCTTTTTGTCCCCTTGTGAGAGTACATCACCCACAGCCGCGTCGCCCACATCCGTATGCAGTATGGATGGTGGGGCGTCCGATTCGCAGTTCGGTAATGCTAGAATCGGTGTGAGGCAGAGCGTTTGCTTCTGCTCTTCAAACGTCTCATCGTACTCTTTTTCCCACCTCATTTTCTTCTTCGCCTGCTTTTCGGTTAATTCATGTAGCGAGCTGGCGATTTTAGTAAAACCTTTAACGAAACGCCTGTAGTAATTTGCCAAACTTAGGAAACTGTGGACCTCTGTCTGGTTGGATGCTGTAAGCCATATCCTCACCTGCCTTGCACGGTCTTCGCTGACTGCCATCCCATCTGACGCGATGTATGCCACAGAAAATTGATCAAACTTTGCAGCAAACGGCATTTCTTTGCGTTCAAGGATAAGCCTGCGTCTCGTAGACGGTCCAAGGCTAGTTTCAAGTTGGCGTTATACTCTCGAATATGTCCACCAAAAACGAGAATGGAGTCGAGATGGATTATGCAATGCTTTGGGAACAGGCTGATTCGAGTTGTTTGCATCAGGCATTGGAAGGCGGCCTCAGCGTTGCAGAATCCAAAGGGGATCGTTTGGAATTCACAAAGTCTGTTTGGCAACAGAAAAGCTGTCTATTCTCTGTTCGCTTCTGCCACCTCCACTTGCCATTATCCCGACTCCAAGTCTGGGGTAAGGAACCACTGCAACCCATGGAAGGAGTGTAGTGAGTCGTTAATGTGGGGTAGTAGAGTCGCATCCATCTTGATTACAGCATTCAACTTCCCACAGCCGACGCATAATCGTAGACTACCATCATTCTTCTTTATCAGCGTGATTGGTGAGGGCTATGACGACTTGCACGACTTGGACAACTTTACAACCTCGCCTCGAATTATCCCTTCAACCAGACTGTTTGTTTCTTCTAGGAGAGGTGGTGGAATGCGTCTGGGTGGTTGCCAGATGAGTGTGGCTTCGCCAGTCCCAATCATATGCTTGACAATATTTGTTCGTCTAGTCTATCACCTTGTCATGAGAAGATTTTCGCATACTTAAGTAGGTGCTTACGAAGTTCTTTCCTATGGCCATTGGAAATGTGGATCAGCTGCGCACAAATGTCATCTAAATTGTTCATGGAAATTGCTGCAGCTTAAAAAGGGTGTTGCAGATGTTATCTGCGTCATCTTTAGGTGGGAAAGTATCTGCGTTGGTCACGGTGACGTGGTGGGTGGAAAAGGTTCCTTCTGCCAAATTGAGGTCGACTTTGGCGTAGCGAGCATGACCAGTTGGCTGAGCGAGTTGGTCTTTATGTTGCAAATCTCCTCAACCATAGCGGAAGGTCGGACTTCATGTCTGGACAGGACTGTTACCCAGTTAGCGACCTTGTTTGGAGGACAGCCACTGAAGGCACCTTCCTCCAGATGTTGAGGGTTCTTAGCGTACTCTTCGTCGTCCTCATCAGCTTCATGAAAACGGTGGAAGAAGTCTCTGGCGAGGATTGATTTTACCCAATCGAAGACGAGCTGAGCCAACGTATGGCAGCAATGATTAACGTCGGTATCGTGAGTGATGCCGGCGTCGACTGTAGCCAAAAGTAAATCATGGAGGAGAGCGTGGAGGATTGGGGCTGTTCTTTGGCACTGAGGATGGAGATGGAGGTTGAATTTCGCAGTTTTGATGCAGACTGTGAAGTTCATGTCATCCCCGGAAGGAGATAGGTCTACTGGCGCTGTTACCAGTGTGAGACGAGGCTCGTAGATCCTCCCTCACTTGGCCCTCATACTCTTACAGCACCCAGGCTGATTTGGTTTCGTCATGTTTATTAGGTAAAGTAGTAATGAGAGCGGATTCGAGTACAGGGTGGGGGAAGAGGGGTTGGACACGGAACCTTTCTCCGGATTGCAGTACGTTGACAGCTCCTCAGTCAAAGGACCATTTAAATAACATAAGTATTGCAGCACATTTGGCTTCTTGGGTCCTTCTGTACCTGCGCAGTTGCATTCCCACCTTGCCTCCTACATAAGCGCACTTCATTGCAAGTCCAGAGCAGATTCAAAAATGCTGCGTGATTTGATAACACGGATTTCATTGAGCCGTTAAATAAATAGATGAATGATTGTTTTACCTTGATAACTTGCAACTGATAGGCATACCTACCCTCTTCATTGTGTGTGAAATCCATAACTCCTGAAGTTTATTCCTTATCAGATGTATGGAAGCAAATTAGCTGATAGTCTTATGTATCTTGTGAGATATGGATCGTTGGGCAGAGAGCATTGTGCCGTGGAATTCACATTATTTGATTTGTAATGACATTGCATTTATCAGGAGCTAAAGAAACTGCACTACTCATTTCGTGGCAGGAGGCATAAGATGTGTCTGCTTGGTTTCCTCCGCCTTATGACTCAACATTAGTAGCACCGCGGTGACCACACCAAGCAGTTGCTTCTTCATAGGTTATCCGCAGTTAATTCCACAGTCACTGTCACCATTGCAGTAGAAGTGTGCTGGAATTGGCGAAGATGCATGCAAGTATGCAGCATTTATTGGCAAAAACACTTAGACCAAATAAAAGGAAGAATTACTTTGGCAGTCTAAATTTTCGACTAATAAAATATGACTAGGTGGGGCGGCATGACCCTCTAGTCATGTTTATGGCAGGTCATGTGCATCACCTCCCAGCTCTCCTCTACTTAGGTAACGATGCCTCCTCATTACCGACCACAGCTTATTGCGAATTCAAAGGCTCAGGGTGCTAAACTCATGAAGGTATTAGACTATTTCTACCTCTTAGGCTAATTGCCAAATCCGTGTCAAAGGAAGAAGGCATCTGCGGTAAAGCTAAAACAGCGCCGACTCTTGGTAGACCATCAATTTCGTGCTTCGCACAGTACCTTCCCATAGAAGGTGGTACAGCTCTAGGGAATCGGAATCGAGTTCACAGAAGAGCCCACCATATATTTCTGAAATAAATCTCCTTCATCATATACTGTAAAGCTGGTACTTTCATATGATGCTACCTTCGGTAAATGTTACTGCGTGAATTATTTCTCCGCTGCAGTCAGCCTTAGATGGAATGCAATGTTTGGAAATCTCCTCAATATTCCCCACCACTACTACGTGGCATTATTCCACCAGTGCAAACTCATGATGCCTTTCAGCCTGTCTTACAATCAGTCATAATTCATGCAAAATTCTTTTTATTCGAAGCAGAGGAGTGGTCGAGAATAGTGTCGAGTGTCGAGAACAGCCTCAAGGAGAATGAGGAGGCCACCTAGTTTGTACCTCCGCTTGACGGCGTAGTCTCTCATTCCACTCCGTGCACCAGTTACGAGGCTTCTCTACTGGTATCACTGATTACTACTTCAGGGAAGAGTTGGTGCGCCACAATACTCATACCCTTCATCATTCATTTCTTACCTAATAAATGTTTAGGGCACTTAACCCCAAACCAGTGGTCGGTGTATTGCCGCGTTCGCATCACCCCAATCTCGCACCCCAAATCATGGATAAAAGAACTACATATTCTAGACAGTGAACTGTGCACTTACCAAGCGTTTTAACAGTAACGCTGTTGAGGTAAGTTTAGTAATTGCTTCTTAACTGTGAAGTTAAAACCACTAAACTTAATGGCATGAGTTCACTTGTCAAATTATATAAGGTCCAATTCCAAATGCTATGGTTGGGCATGCAAATACCAGTCAAAAGTAAAGCGAATCACAAGTACTTTTCAGTGTAAGGATTGCACAAATACATGGCTATCAGGTTAAGATTGAAAAGGCGCCATGAAAGGGGAAGGTCAGCAAGAGGAGAGGCTACTGAATATGGCCGGCAGATTAAGGATACCTTTGCACCGAAGGAGTATCCTAGCAGCTACTCTTCACAGAATGCTCCTGCAAAATGATGATAAACAACAGTCTAAGAATTGGGTTGTCTTCCAAAAGCAAATTAGTTAAATGGCCCAATGAGAAGGCGAGATGATTAATGAATAGTGGCATTGATCGTTCACGAGGATAAACTGAATAACCCAAAACAAGCATGCATTTATCCGGTGACGTTCCTGGTTGGAATTCTCGTTTCAATCCCCACACTCATTGGTGAGCTAAATTCTAAATATCTACTGCATCGTTCTCTTTGCCAGTCGTGAAGCTTTAGTAAGGTGGCATGAAATCCACGGGAGGTTACACTTGCACGTGCCTTCCTGTGGACCAACTTGGGTGCGTCGAGTCTAACAACCGATTTTAAAGTAGCCACAGTGACCCTGCCACAATTTCCCTGGTCTTCGAAAAGGCCACATTTTCCACTCTCCACCACGTCTACCTCCACTTCACCATCTTAACACCCATTAATTGTCTGGGCTAGTATTTCCACTACCTGTTTCGTGTGTTAGCCCAATCATTCAGCATTGAGACATTGACATCACTGTCAAAAGTTAGTCTTGATCTTGGTACGCACCAGTGCAACTCAGAGTGATGATTTCACTCCACTACCTACATCCTAGCATGAGTTTGGAAATTGAATCAGCTACTTTATGGGAAACGGGTTCAATTTATGTCACTTACTACTCATTTAAATCGTTCCACGTAGTCTGCAACAGTTGTTTCAACTGACATGACAGTCGGCTGACCAAGCAGAAGGCGTCTCATTGGGTGGATGTTAAATTCCCTCAATAATCACTCTCGATTGGCATTTTCAATTGTATGATCAAAATGGGCACCAAACATAGCCCTGGTCTAGACTGGCAGCATGCCGCCTCGCACTTGCGAAGCTAGATGATCCACCGGAGAGTCGGGGAGGGTGGTGGAAAATTGAAAATGTGGCGTCGATGGGGCCGTCTAGAGGGGTCTAAAGGACGTTCTCTTACTGCAGCAACCAGCGTCACATCTCCAATTAATCTTGACAAGTTTTATGCCAAAGCGGAGCAATTATTTGGGAAGGAATATCCAGAGAGTGAGTGACTTCAGGATACGAGTGTGATATAAAAACAATATCATTTGTAAGTAGGAATGTGCTGTTTTCCCTAGTTTTGATACATCAAGGTAGACTGATGGGCATTGAAGTTGGCTTGATTTTCAACTTCAAGCAATTCTTGCGTTTGAACTTCCTCGTTGTTTGAGCAGAACAGCAAGAGGTAAGGAAAATGGGGGTGTTGTTGAAAAGGGCACCTTGGGCACTTGGGCCTCAACTGTGGCATATCACATTCATCACTCAACCAGAGGTAAATTTGACCTCCGTCTGACCAAACTGCTGCAATGAATTCATGCAAGATTTGCATGTCAGTTTTACTGATTAAGAGAAGGTAGGCAAGCACTCTCCAAACTTTCTGCAACGGAATTGATTTGTGCAAGGTTTTGAAAATGTGGTTTAATTTAAGTGCTTAGGTGGCGATATGTGAGGTAAGAAGTAAATGAAGGTGGAGCTCATTCCTGAGGTAAGTAATTGACTAAACGAAAAATACATGTCGATTGTGTTGCACAAATTGCAAGAATCACAGCTCCCCTGCCGATACGTAGTTGTGCCGAGTGCGCCGGACAGGGACGACCAGCAACCCATTTTGCGTCGCCCTTGTGTTGAGCGGTAAATTACAAATAAAAGGGAATTATTTGTTGGCCTGAACAAGTTGCCCATATTTTTAGACTGATGCATTTCTGGAAATAAAATTTGGTGACAATTTTTGGCAATTTATGCATTATAATGTTTAATTCATTTTGCTGATTTTCAACTGGTCTCCAACGAACAGTTTTCGGCAGTTTTGGAGTGACCGATTGTTAATCCAAAATTTTCTTTAAGAAAATTTATCGGAAGTAGGAAGGAAAATTCAGACGTAAATCTGGACTACAAGTAAGGTATGCCACAATATCTCCATCAAGTAGGACGGGCTCTTCGTTGAAACGCATCACAGGAAATTGTTCTTAGAGGAACCGAGAAGGTTGTGGAACAATGTCTTAGCAACGTCGGAGGAAGGTTGCCTATTGAATTCCCACCAAAATAAGCTAAGTGATGGGGAGAAATAGTTAAGCAATTTTACTTACTCTATTTGCTAAGTTATCCCGAAGCCATCCCAAGCCCACCTATGTATCAAACCTCTATCTATCCACCCATCTAAAGCACGTTTAACAAATCAAAGGTTTCTGCAAATTAGCGCGTGGGAAGATGAAACATTCATTCAGCTTCTTTGCGACTTTTTGTCTGTTAATTTTCTGTCTGTCAACTAGTTACAGGATTCTTTTTCCATTCCTGCCAATTCTTACTTGTCTGGAGCGCTTAATAGTTAAAAGAACCGTATTTGATATTTTGCACCCAGATGTTGACTCTACAAAATGTTTTGCTACAGGCGGCCCCTTCATACGACCGCACACAATGAGGCTGACTGGGGCAGTGTCATTGTTTATCGTAAGAGCTACTTCTTTTGATCGACTGCAAGAAGGCGTTGATTGTTTACGAGGATCCAGTGATTTTACATTCCAAGCCAATAAACTCACCCATTCCACTCACCACTCTCAAACTAGGTGCAAGCACATATGTGTTTGAAAGAACCACCCTAGTTCCAACTCACTGAAAGAAACTAAAGTTAGAGGATGGTTTTCTTAAGCACCAAGACTGGTAACTGTTAGGACACTTTTGTGTTTCAGGCAATCTCTGAACATCGAAAGTGCTTCTTTCCGGTAAACACCGATCAAGCAATTGCGGCAGGCACGAAGAGAACTTTCTCAAATTTTAAACATGAAGGCACTAACACCCGAATCACATGGACTGTTTGGCTAGTATGACGACAGTATAAGGCTCACTTTGCTCGGCGCTAGGTAGACACTAATCACAATAATGGTGTCAAAAATGGAAATTTGAAATATGAAATTGTGGTGGTAAAACAACCGACACACTACCAATGCGACTAGTAAGGCCACAGTCACATGAGAAACATTTCAACTGGGTGTTCCCTATAATTTCTTTGAAGAATATGAGCACAGTGGTGAGGGAGAGATGCAACTTAGAGGATAAAATAAGGGAAAGAGGGAGTGGTTTGTCTTTCACTAATTCTGGAGATTTTCCACCCTCTTAAATGCTCCCCTCAAAAGGAATCAATTTTAGAAATTGCTTTCCTATCAAGTGACCGAAAATTAATTGCTGCTCTTTCGGTAAACACGACCACTTGTTGAAAGTTGTAGGGACTAGTGATGTGTGCGCGATTGCCCATGGGCATGTGTTACCAGACGTTGATATGACCCAGTCAATCAGCACGGACGACTTCACTGTGCTTTCCACAGCTTTCCTCTCACCCCCAACCTCCATCTCTAACAGCGTCGGTTAAACTCTACGGTGTGATAAAGTTGGCAGACTTATTCTTGCATCGTATAATTCCCACTTGAATCAGAATGCAACCGATACGACTATCACTGCTGGAAAGGTAGCAGTTCTTGTGACTCATGAAAGTTGATAACTAACTTTCTTCAAAGTCATTACGTGTGAGCGCCTAACGATCTGCATCTCCTAGACCAACTACATTTGAAACGCTTTGTGCTTGAGCTGGTATCATCACTTCCCCGAACGAGTGTGGAGTTGTCAGGCGCAGTCTGAAGGGCGTCTGCACCTACAGGGAGGATGGATGATGTGAGAGGTGATTTCATGAAATATCCACATTCTTTGAGGATAGATCGAAGACAGTCATGCAACTCCAGGCATCTGAGGGTGTGGTAGTGCATACCTTTGAGGTGTGCAGTAGTTAGTTGATTGATTGGGATAATCGCGGACACAGTACTGCGCCCAACCAACGCTACAATGCCTAGGCCATTTCTCACTCAGGAAACGCGTAGCAAAATGAAGTGGACCGAAGCACAAAGTACTACACTTTGAAGTCAACTATCGTGTGTCCATCCATGTAACACCCATCTACTTGTCCTCCACGAACTTCCCTTCTCACTTGGTGTGGGTTTAAATCAACAGGTTCTCCATACTCGTCACACATGAGAAGTTACCCACACGTCAGTCTCGGCATCTTCTAAGCAAACGCGATACCCAGACGTTCACAGCTTGAACGGGGCATGTTCCCTGGTGTACTGCTTCTTCCAATGGGTGATTCATCATCACTACCATATTAATTTAACCGTTTCAGGAAGATGCGTTCTTCCACACCACTTTCTCCTAACGCTACACACATTGTCGGCGACGAAAAGGCGCTCAGTTTGGAGGCGAATTGAAATTCGTCAAAGTGGACAAGTCTGCGTCGAACCACAATCAAGGGACGCTTTGTGCATGTCAAGTGAGAGGAAAGGTGTTGACAGCACGCTCAAGGCTACTGTGTTCAAAGGCTGCGCGCAGCTATGCTTTGTAATACATGCCAACTCACGTTCTAGTGGGCTGTGCAGGCAAAACGTCACTGAAGCCTGTTTATCACCCCACGCAAGTGCCTACCTGGGCGTCCTGCATGTTCGCATTTTTGGACATCCCGGGATACTCACTTTTTGGCCAAATTCGCCTTTTCTGGACAAACTTGGATTGACCATTCTCAACTATCCCCGATGCATTCATTCTCTCTCGTGTTGCAACTTGCTTGCTAATACGCTTGTCCGAACTAAAGCCATCCCTTGTTTCTCGATTGGGATAGTAAGCAAGCAAGAATGCGGCCAATATAGTCATGGTAGCTAGTCAGTAATGGACGCTTCAAAATCCGAATCGTACCTAAATAATATAATAATATAATCTTTTCTTGACAAACAAGCACATTTCTTCATAGCGTTGCTTGTGAACGAAGCCATCATACCCTCGTGATTTTACTGCTTTAGTGATCAAATACATCTCCACTCGCTTCGAAAGCGTTGCCACAACGGAAGATTCAACAACCATAATAATCAGTGCTATTAAATAAAGGGCGAAATGGGCTAAAAACACAGCATTCTCATTAAACACTAAGAGTCTCATAATAGAAAGCCATGGGCGTTAAAAATGTCCCCGATTTCGGGTTTACCACCCTACAATGGCTTGCAACTACCCGACTACCATTTGCG